GAGAATCGTCTGGTAACCTACCTGTCCGGCGGTGAGGGCTACCATAACTATCACCACACCTTTCCCTTTGACTACTCAGCCTCAGAGTACGGGTGGAAAGACAACTGGAATATAGCGACGGCTTTCATAGATATGTTTGCGTGGATTGGGTGGGCGTATGATAGGAGGCGCCCAACACAGACTTGTGTTAAGGCCAGGATCGCCAGAACTGGTGATTCCGATCATAAATATCAGAGATTAACCAGGGTATACGCTATTATCGATTCAATTATGGGGGCTACAGTGGATTTGTGGCCAATATGGCTACCCCGGGTAATTAGGTTTATATTGTTTTAAAATGTTTTCAAAATCAAGTTCTGGTATATAATTATCAAAATGTAATTGGTCATTAAAATATAATTATAATGACATAACTTTAGTATAATTCTTGAATGTCAACACCCGGTAGAGGCCCTCCACTGCTCAACTAATAATGTCGGGTCCGCGGGTCGGACTCATGGGTCCATTAGTTGTTTAAATAAAAAACTATCGGCTTATATATACCCAATATATTGCTTATTTATGTTACTAATGTATTGCATATTTTTTGATTTTTTTCAAATGTTTACTTTTTTTCCAAACGTATTGAGTATTGACAGAAATTTCTTAATAAATTGTTTTTAAACAAATATAAAAATAATTAAATTATCATGTGGATATTCAATTCATTTAGTTAATAACTTCACTATTATTATAAGATAAGATATATTATTTTTGTATATTATTTTCAAGGCACTATTATTGTAATTAATTAGTAATTTGTGATTTATTATAACCTTCACAATAAAATAAATCTAATTTTTATGGTGGTATTACGAGTTTATTTAATGATGTGACTAAAAATAAATTAGCATTTGTAAAATAATAATAAAACAATTGTAATTTATGATGATTATTATACTATCAATATACAGTATAATCAATTTATGTAACATTATTAAATGAATTATTGTAATAATTCATAGATCATTTAATAATTATGGGGAAATTTGTTATTCTGTTTGTTTAATATAATAATAGCTTGATAATTATAGGTGACATTAATGACATAAATGACATTGGTAACTAAAAGTCATTAAAAAATATTCGTGCTTACATTGTAAGAGCATAATATGATTACAAAACCCAAGGAATTTTACATAATTGATTTATAATACATTTAATAGTTATAATATACTATATTTAAAGGTTTTACAGTTTGAATTATATATGCAATGCACATATTTAATGCAGTACCAGTTAGAAATATAGAAACAAGTATAGCATTTCAATTTAATTTAATTAGGATTGCTCACAACTCCTATATCATAGTAAACTGATTTAAACTAATCCATATAGAATAATCATACAGTTGTTAATTAGCTGGGTATTTATGAAAATTTGTTTTATGCTTATAAATACTGTATTCGATTAATACCGCACATTGTTTTGTTGTCAACGTTATCGAGACATCCTTATAGTGATTGTATGATGTATTACCTATATAAATATTATTTTATAATATATTATATTTTACTTTCCTTTCTTAAAAGGACCAAGGTGAACATGGGTTATGAAAGTGTGTGGCGGTGGACGCAAATCAAAATATTACCCCAAATGATCCAGATAAGAGTAAATTAGTAATCGTTTGGTCCAACATATTTAAACTTGGTCTACTACATTTGGTGACATTAGTTGCATTTTGGAAATTAATTAATGGTAAACATTTCATTATAATATTTAAACAATATTAATAGTCATTAATATGATAAAAATGTAAACAGGCACATACACCTTTAAAACCGAGATATGGACCTTGTTCATGGGAAGTATGGGGACATTTGGTATTCTATGCGGCGCCCACCGTTTGTGGTCTCACAGCTCATACAAAGCCAAATGGCAGCTCCGGGTGCTGTCGGCTGGCCTACAGACCCTCGCCCTACAGAACTCAATATACTCGAGTGGTGTCGCGACCATCGCGTGCATCACCGGTACTCCGAGACCGACGCCGACCCCCATAACGCCAAACGGGGCTTCTTTTTCGCGCACATGGGTTGGCTCATGTGTCGCAAGCACCCGGAGGTCACCATTAAGGGCAAGGAGATAGACATGTCAGACCTATGAGCCGACCCTGTAGTCCGCTTTCAACACAAATACTACTACTCATTAGTGGTGTTAATATGGCTGATAATACCGGTGTCGGTACCGGTGCTCTTGTTTTGCGAGACGTGGTTTGACTCATTCGTGTTAAACTGTTTACGGTATGTCTTTACTCTACACCAGTCATGGCTCGTGAACTTCATGGCCCATATTGGCCCGGCCTATAAGCCGTACGATAAGTATATTAACCCGCGTGAGAGTCGAACGGTTACCTACCTGGCCCTGGGAGAGGGTTATTATAACTATCACCACACGTTCCCCGGAGACCACTCGGCCTTCGAGTACGGGTGGAAAGACAACTGGAATATAGCGACGGCTTTCATAGATATGTTTGGATTGAATGGGCGTATGATAGGAGGCGCCCCACGGAGGCGGTGGTTAAGGCGAGAATTGCCAGAACCGGTGATTTCGATCATAAATATAACCAATTTTCAAGAGTTAGCGCTATAATGGATGCAATTACAGGGTATGCATTGGTTTTGTGGCCTATATGGCTACCAAGGTTAATTAAAACACTTTTTATAATTGGCTCTAGCTAATTATAACATTAAATAAAAATTTGTCATTTTATTATTAAAACAATGATTAATTTTTCTGAATGCGTAATGATTTAAATAATTAAAAATTAATGTTGTATTTGCTAATTATTATAACCGTTTTTAACGTACTGTTCCCAAAGTCATGAGCTGTCGGCACAAACATACCCGTCCTCTTATTGTAGCCAAACATAAACCATCTTATGTTCAATGGCTTCCGGTTTGCCATCAGTTTGGGCCCTATTTTGGTCACAAACAGCAGCCATAGAGTCATGAATGTTAGCACCGGTAGAGGCCCTCCACGGGTCAGCCAATAATGTCGGGTCCGCGGTTCGGACTCATGGGTCCAGAAGTCGTTCAAATAAAAACTATCGGCTTATATATACCAAGTACATTGATTATTTATGTTACTAATGTTATGCATATTTTTTGATTTTGTAAATGTTTACTTTTTTTCTAAACGTATTGGGTATTGACAGAAATTTCTTAATAAATTGTTTTTAAAAATGTATAAACAATAATTAAACTATCATGTGAGTATTCAATTCATTTAGGTAATAACTACACTATTATTAAAAGTAAAATTATTGTTGTGTTTTATTTTCAAGGCACTATTATTGTAATTAATTAGTAATTTGTGATTTATTGTAACCTTCACAACAAATAAATCGAATTTTTGCGGTCATATTAATGTCAATTTTAATATTATAAATTTAAAAATAAATTAGTATTTTTTAAAGTATTAATAAAACAATTGTAAATTATGATGATTATTATACTATTAATATATAATCAATTTATGTAACTTTATTAAATGGAATATTATACTAATTATTTAATAATTGTGGATTTTCTGCAAATAATAATTGGGAAATTTGCTATTTTGTATTTACAATAAAGATAATTATGTATGATCATTATTATTGACATTAATGACACAAATGACATTGGTAATTATAAGTCAATAAAATATAATATATTTAAAGGTTTTACAGTTTAAAGTATACCATTATATAAAATGTACATAATTAATGCTGTATCAGGTAGAAATATAGAAACAAGTATTGAATTTAAATTGAATTTAATTATGATTGCTCACAACTGCTATATCACATTTAAACTGTTGTAAACTAATCCTACAGAATAAGCATACAGTTATTAGTTGGCTGAGTATTTATGACAATTTTGTTTTATGTTAATATATAAATACAACATTGTATATAATTTTATACTCTTGTATGCTAACTATAGACATTAAAATATTCGTTTTAAGAATAAATGTCAATTGCTTCTGAACAAGGTTCCCATTTATTAAGGTATGGATTTATAAATATTATAACTTAAATTATGTCCATATTTAAATTACCAATTGCAAATTAATTTTAGCTATTAGTACAAAATAACTAGAAATAAATATAATAGTAACTATAAATGTCTTAACATTTAGTCAATTTAATGAATTTAATTACTCGTAAATAATGTTAGCTTTATTAATTTAATGTTATAGTTTTGTATTTTATTTAATCAGTGGTGGAAAAATGAGAAATCTTGATGAAATTAGTAATAGTGTGGCAGTTGATCATAATCAAAATGATATTCAGCATAAACCCGAATATAAGCTACAACTAGCATGGGCAACTATAACCAAACTTGGTCTATTACACGTGGCTGCTATCATGGCTTTCTGGAAGTTAATTAAAGGTTCATATAATATTTAAATATTCTGAAATTAACTAGTTAATTTAACTGAATTGTTTACTTAATTTATTTTTATTTTACAGGTGACTATACCTTATACACACAATTGTATGCATTAATAATAGGCATATTCGCCGCATTTGGCATATTATGCGGCGCCCACCGCCTCTGGTCTCACCGCTCATACAAAGCCAAATGGCAACTCCGGGTGCTGTTGGCCGGCCTACAGACCCTCGCCCTACAGAACTCAATATACGAGTGGTGTCGC